GGGTACTCTGGACAGAGGATCGCCCTCCCCTTCTCCTGCCATCAAGACCACTCCTGCCCCCCATGCAGTTACCTCAAAGGCCACGGGGAGCAGCACATGGAGGAAGGCGGCCACGTAGTCAGCATTTCCCATCCCAACCTGTGGCCATGGGGCATCAGTGCTGGGCCCCGTGGCAGAGGGCTATGACGTCTCCGTCCCTGGGGCCCAAACTCTGGGGGTGACCCTGGAAGGATGCCCTGAACTCTGTTCAGGAGGCCTGGGGCTGCGGGGCAGGGGCGAGGCCTGGGTGAGGGGCTCTGTGTAGGCGGCTGGCGGGAGAGGCAGGCACCTGATTCCAGGGCAGGTTGACAGTGAAGCCACGGCCCTGCCCCTGCCCAACAGCATCCGCATCCGATTCTCGAAGGTAGGGCCAAAAGTGCCCATGCTCATAGCGGTGCCAGGAAAAGTAGAGGACGCTGTGGACAACCAGCCACGACCAGAGGTCAAGACCTTGTCCCCATGGCTCCCAGCAAAGGGTCTCGGGGAAGGGTCGCGTCCCCGGCTCACCTGGGGTCATCCTCAAAGATATACTGGATGCCCTGACCATGGTGGACATCCCAGTCGACAATGAGGATCCTGGGGACAGGGAGTGCTCAGAGGTCACTGAGCGGCAGAGCCTCTGACCTTGGGGCCACAGCCCACCCCAGGAAGACAAGGGGCTGGATGGGGTCTCTCAGCAGCCCGCTCTACCACCCTCCTGTCGGGCCTGGGCCCCTGCCTCGCAGTGCACACCTGTGCAGCCCGTGTCTCTGCTTGGCGTGTTTGGCTGCTATGGCCACGTTGTTGAACACGCAGAATCCATTGGCAGCGGCTCTCTGGCTGTGATGCCCAGGAGGTCTGTGGGTGAAAATTGGGTGTGGGGCACATCAGGGTCATCCTGTGCCCTCACAGGGCCACCCACGGGTGGGAGCGACCCAGGAAGGGGACAGCTCTCACCTCACCAGGGCGACCCCGTTGTGCACAGCCCCCGTCAGCACGGCATCCACCAGCTGCAGCGCAGCCCCCGCGGCCAGCCGGGCACAGTGGAAGGTACTCTGTGGGGCAGGGGTGCAAATGAGCCCCCACCCCCCGCACCTCACAGGCTCTGCCCAGGCCCGCGTAGGGTACAGCAGGCAGCAGGGCGTGTAGGCCATGTGCACATTCATGAATGTGGGGCCTTTGGCCAGGGTTGGCGGCAAGGCCATAAATCAGGCACGGGCATGTGGATGTGCAGTGGGGAGGTAGCGTGTCCCCACCCAGGAAGTGGTGTGTCCCCAGGGCCACACCGGATGGAAGTAGACAGCGTCGTATTGTCCAGACAGCGCCTGTAGTTCCCTGGTGCTCAAGGTCTGGGTTCCTCGCAACAAGGACACATACTCTGGGCTGCAGGGGGACAGGTAGGCAAGGCAGGGTCACCAGCAGGAAGAGGAGGAGAAAGAGGGGCTGGACCCCTGGGGGCACTGCCCACCTCACTGTTTTGTCTCCCACCCACCCAATGGTGAAACTGAGGCAGGTAGGGGAGATGCTCTGTTTTCAAGATTCTGGCAGGCTGGGTGGCCTCAGGTCCTAGCTGGCCTCCTCTGTGGCATGTGGCTCCCCAGGGTCTGACCTGTGTACCAGGCCCAGCTCTGCCTCGGAGGCCTCTCGGGCTGCCAACTGTAGACACCTCTGCTCCAGGCCCCACTGCCGCAGGCGCTCCAGGGCTGCAGTCAGGCGCTCCGGACGCTCGATCTCACACTCAGGGCTGAGTGGACACAGAGCTCAGGGTCCAGAGCCCCCTCTCCATCCTCCCACCTCTGCCAGGTCACACTTACTCTTCCCAGAGCAGCTGGGCCGCTGTCATGTCCTCGTGGTACACCAGCGCAGTCCTCATGGCACAGCCGTGGTCACTTTGGGCCACCCTGGCTGGGCAGGTGAATGCACTGCCTGTCCCCTCCTTGCAGCCCCCGGGAGCTGGGACGACCGGCAGGGAGCCTGGGCAGGAACACGCAGAATCCAGGCAGGGAAGTAGGCCGACAGGGGCGCTCCCAGGGCCAGATTTCCCCACTTCCTCAGACTCTGACCCAGCGCCCAAAACCCCGCCCCGAAGCGCGGCCTGACGGGAGCTGGGCTGGCGAGACGCCTGGGGCCCGGGCCGGGGCTGTGCTGCCCCATCTCTCCTACTCCGCGCTCCGGCTGCGGCTCCAAGACCTACCTTCCCCCACCCCAGCCCGGAGCCTGAGGCGTGTCGCGGGCCTCCCTCTCCCTCTAGAGGTGGAGGGGGCGGGTGAGGTCCAGTGTGCCCAGGACCCCGCGGACCGCCCCAAATCTCCCCCGACCCAGCCTGACCGCGCAGGCCAAGGCGTCAGACGCGTCCTCAGCCCATCACGTCTGGCGCTGCCCTGGGACGCATCCGAGGGCCGCTTGGGCTAGGGGAGCCCGGGCCTGAGCGACGTCGACGCGCAGCGCTTCCCCCGAGGTGTAAGAAGGGAGTGGCGGGGTCCGACTTGAGCTCCAGAAAGACCCTGGCCAAAGAGCAGACCAGTCGGAGGGTCGGGGGGTGGCAGAGCAGCTAGACAAGAGCCGCGGAAGCGTGGGGCGAGGCAAGGCAGGAGGGCAAGGCGAACAGAGGGAGGGTCTGGGCGAGGAATGCATGCATGAGGCCAGCAACCGAGCCAGATGGCCAGAGAGGAGGAAAGTGGGAGTCAGGGGCCTGAAACATAAGGGCTCTGGCAACAGCGCCCAGGGCCCGAATCCTGAGGCGGCGGGCTTCACGGAGGCGGCGTTCTGAAGCGAATAGGCCCTGGGGGGCGGGGCACGTAGGAGGCGGGGCCCTGGGCGGGAGTGCAGCCAACCCCGTTCGTGGGTGCCCCGGAAGTGTAGGAATGGCCCCTACGGCGGGAAGGATGCGGCCCGCGGCCCCACCGGGGTTCCCACCGTCCCGGTCGAGGCACCTGCCAGAGTCCACAACGGACAAGCTACCAGCGCCGGGAAGACTCCGATTGGGTCATTTGGGGTCAGGTGCCCACCCCTCAGCCAATCACGGTGGCTATGGGGCTGGCGTACTCTGATTGGCCATCCTGGCACACGTGGTCCCAGAGGCGGGGCCTGTGGCAGACCGCCCTTCCCGGATCGCCCTGAGCCGGGGGTCCAGAGAAGGGTCGGCCCCGGGAGCACCAGAGAGCCCCTGAGCAGAGAAGGCCGGTGTCCACTGTGGCAACTCGGCTGGGCCAACTGTTCACGTGTCCGGCCGAACTCCAGGCCAGAAGGGGGACGGCCTGGCCCCGCTTTGGGCGTACCTGCCCTGGGGACAAGTGGGAGGAGCCAGTGCGAACGCAGGAGCCCTAGAGCCTAGAGAGCCCGGCTCTCCGAGACGTCCACTGGCTGGCAGAAGGCTGCGCGGGCTCGCCGATGGCGCTGGCATGTGGACGCCGGGGCGGGAGGTTTCAAATGACAACAGAACCCACTGGCGTGCTGTGTGTGACAGGTGCCTCAAAGCGTCTAGCGTGACCCCTCCTCTCCAGGAACCTGGCCCTGGAGACTGCTGGGAGCTCAGACAGCTGGGACTGAGCCCCACGTTGGGCCCTAACGCCCCGTCCCGAGCGGGCTCTGCCTGGGGCCTGGCTCCAGAGTCTAAACCTTTAGAGGAAGTCCTCAGAAGGGGCGGGGCCAATCCCTACCCCGGGGGCTTCAGGCTCTGGGCTCACTGTGGACCTGGGAGGAAGGGCGTGCCCCGGCACAGCTACTAAGTAGGGACTGAGGCTCGGGAGCCAGCTTCTTTTCTCTATGCCTGGCTGCAGCTCAGAGACCTAAAGGTGGAGATCCAGCGCGAGAATTAGGAAGGAAAGCCAGAGTGGGATCTCTACAAAAGGGTTTATTTCCTTCCCGTCATGTGGGCACAGCACAGGGCCAATTTACATTCCGGGCTGGGGGTTCAGGAGAGTCCACACCAACGCCCCCCAGGAGAGACATCCCTGAGTAGGCACTCAGTGCCCTCCCTGTGTGTCTCTTTCAGCTGTGTGAACTGGGTTCCAGCAGGGGCTGGAGCGGACAGGATCAGGCCAAGCCTTGACCCAAGCCTCACCACCACCATCCCGCACAGGCTCTGAGGCTTCTTGTTGCACCTGGGGAAGGGGACCACTGCCCAGGGAGTCAGAGGCCAGTCCCAGGTCAGTTTGGCGTCCTGTTCAGAAGGTCCAGATGCCCTCCCCCCCCCCCCCCCCCCCCCCCCCCCCCCCCCCCCGCCAAGGTTAGACTGAGGTGGTAGCCTTGAGAGCAGGGTAACGGCTGGGGGAGGGGGTCCATGGAACCATAGGTCTCCTGGGATGCAAACCCCAGCCAGAGTCACAGTGATAATCAGGATCCCCTTCCAGGTGGAAGCCCCAGCCAGGGTCCTCAAGGCCCCCTCCCCACCGCTCTCAGGGCCCAGGGGTCTTCACAGCGCTGTCTCCTTGGACACCTTGGTCCCCAGCTGCCGGGGAGGCTTGAAGCTGAGCACTTCCTTATATGTGACACCTGGGGTGGGGTGAGGGAGACAGATCATCACGGGAGAAGGGGCCCCATCACCCTTCAGAATCAGTTCCTACAATTCACACCAAAGGCAGAAGCCAGTGACCCAGGAAGAACACTGGGCCCAGCTCACTGGTACCTGCCCTGACCAGCACTGAGTCCTGTGAGGGGCGGCTCAGGGTAGGGGTGGGAAGAGCTCCCCGGCCCTAGAGCACAGGCTGTTAGCCATTGACCTAGGGGCCCAGCCAGTTCCCAAAAACATCAGGGCCAGAGGTCATTGCTGGAGTGCAGGTGCCGCTTCATCCGAGGCTACGGCCACTCTCAGCCCACCTGTGCCCATCCACCCCGAAGGGGCTCCTGTAACCCAAACCCACTGCCCCTGGCGTGGCCAGACAGGCCCTGGCCCCGCAGCCTTCTGCAGTGAGCAGAGGCTGTCCTGGCAATGTAAATCAATGTGTCTACTCAAGCGGAGCCACTCAGGGCCCCAGCAGGGCACACCTCGATTTCTGGATCGAGACTATCCATAGAAACTTAAACGAGGGGAATTCCCACCACCCACAGCATCTGCCCTCCTTGCCTAGTGGTCCTGTCCCCTGTCCCCAGAGCAAGCCATCCCAAAGGAAGGAGAAAGCCTGATTTGCTTCTCCTCTGGCCAGTCTGCAGCGGGACAGGTTCTGCTCAGCCTACCTCAGTTTCCATGCTCACCTGGCCAGTGGAGCACCTGTTTGGGGGACTCTGCTCCTCCAGAGCCCAGTTCAGGAAACACTGTGCATTTAGAGCAGACGATCTGTGGTTTGCCCTGCCTGTGGCATGGATGTATTCCCGCCCCCTGTGGTGCCTCCTAGGCCCTTCATCTGATCCTAACACAGGGCTCAACCCATACACGGAAGGTCTATGTGAAGCTGGCTGTTCCCAGGGAAACAGGAGGCGATGAGAGTTTGCATTCCTGACCAGGGGCTTAGCCACAAACAGGTCACGTGTTCCCCATGGTCTATAGTAAAAGTAAAATCTCTTACCACAGTCTGTGTGGGTGGGGACCACAGAGAGGAGCCTGTGGCCCGTGGTTTTCATGTTATCTTTTTTAGCAGCAGAAAACTTTCCCCAAACTGAACGAAACTTAAAAGCACAAAACAGCACAACCAAGGGCGGAGCTCTGTTGAGAGTTACAAGCACCCCGTGGCTTAAGGAACGTGATTTGGGAACCACCAGTCCAGTCCCACCCTGACCCCCATGTATAGGACCAAGGCCCTATGTCTGAGGCAGAGCCAAGATGGGGCCTAGGACACAGCGGCCACCATGTGCCACGGCCCCAACAGTGCTAACCGCTGCCCTCGGACATCCCAGCACCCTCCAGGCTGGTCCTGCAGCCACCAAGAGAAAGACACCAAGCCCAGCCCTCACTGCCTGCCATTCTGCCAAGACAGTTCCAGCACAGGGCTTCAGGACCACAGCAGAGGGAGGCCTGGGGACCTGGCAGGTGTCCCTGAGCCCAGCCTGAGGCTTAATATTTGCTGGTTGGCCCTCAGGGAGGAAGGGAAGGGCCCTCAGTGTAAGGCAACAGCCAGCCTGGCAGTACAGAGCAGTTACAGGTACATCTGAACTGCTCAGTGGGACTGGAGGAACAGGCGAGGGGTGGTGAGGGGGCTGGCTGGGGGTGGGGGGCTTCTGCTGTTGGCAGGACATGAGAGGTGTGGTGGTGACTGTGTGTGCCAGGTGGGAGGGGTCTAAAAAAAAGAGCAGAAAAGGTGAAGCAGAGTTCAAGAGAAATGGGGAAGTGGAGGCCTGGGGGATGAGTGGGAGCGGAGGGGCTCCAGAATGGCCAGGACATGGGGAGGATGTGGGCAGCATTGGGCAGGGGCAGCAGGGGCTGGGAGAAAGCCGAAGTGCTCTGTGTGACCTGAGTGCAGGCTGCCCCTCCTCTGCAACTTCCAAGGGCTCCTTCCTGCTCTTGTTTGTGCCGAACCTCCTGCCGGGAACATTCTTTCATCCCTCATCTCAGCTCCAGCCAGGGGTCACCTGCCCCTTGACCTAGAAGCCCCACCTGCCCCACCTCCCAGGTCTGTTGTGTTCCTCAGCTGACCCTGTCCCAGGACAGAGCCTTTTGAGCGGCCTGCAGAAGCCCCCCACTCGCGCTTCCCTTTCGTCAGCGTGAATCCATCAGATCGAAAGGACTGCGTCGTGCTTCTGAGCCTTGGGGTTCATCCTCATTAATCCTGCAGTGACTTCGAGAAGTAGGGTGTGTGGCGCCCACCGACGCAGCAATCCACCATAGATTCTGCATCAGTACCAGCATTTTCTCCAGGTTCCCACAGCTGCGGGGAGAGCTGAGAGGGTCAAGGCCCCAGCGCCCGGTCACTGACCCCACCCCACCCCCCCAGTCCAGCCTGCCCAGAGGACTTGCGTTAGTCAGGATGGAGGCAAAATCCTTCTCCAACTTCAAGGGAGAGCCCTTCATGTGTCGCCGCCTTTTGGAAGAAAGGGTAAGGGGAGCCAACCACAGGCAGGCAACCCCCTCCAGCCTGCCCAGCTCCCCACGACCCCACCGGCACTCTGCTGGCAGCCTCTGCACAAATTCATCGGGAGGAGTCCCTGTCACCTTCATGATCTCCTTCAGCTGGTCCAGGTCTGCACAAATGCTGAATGAGGAGGCAACAACAACCTGGCAGGCAAGAAACACAGGCACCACTGGGGCAGCATGCCCAGCACCCCCCCAGACCCAGCCTACCCCCCACAAGTGTAGGATACGGTCACTGCCCTTGAACAGCGTCTTCCCTGTGATCATCTCTGCCATGATGCAGCCCGCTGACCAGATGTCCACTGAGACAGAAGCCCCTGCATCAGGGCTCTGTGGGCCAGGGAGGGGGGCGGGGGACACAGACACGGGAGGGGGACGTGGACATAGGGGCCATCTAGCCTGCCACACCCTCGCCCCAATCCCATCCCAGGTCAGCAGCCTCCCCGTGGAGCAGCCACGGCTGGGCTTCCCATGAAGAAAGGGAAGAAGGTGGGCAAGGCCAGGGTGGCTCTGCGTCTCTGGGCATTCTCACCCGTCTGGGTGTAGTGCATCCAATTCAAGATGACCTCAGGTGCACGGTACCACCGGGTCACCACGTACCCAGTCATCTCGCTGTCGGCCTGCCTGGCCAAGCCGAAGTCCAGGATCTATAGTCAGAATCAGGAAGGTGGGGCAATACGGCCCCCAGGGAGCAGGTGGGCCAGCCTATGACCCAGGAGCACCGGGCACACCGGGGCCTCTGCCAACCCTCCAGGGCCTGAGGTCGTGGCCTCTCCATGAGTTCCTCCCCATGGCCAGTGCTGTCAGCCCCACCCGACCTTGCCTTCTCCTACCCTCAGGAGCGGGCACTCCCATGGGTCTCCTCTCCCTGCTCCTCTACTCTCTGCTGACCCCAGGACCTGGCCAGCGCTTTGCAGGGGCCCCCTCGGCCCTATGCTGGCTCAGGTATGGAGGACCGGGGACACCTCCCGCCCTTCGCCTTAATCAGGTGTGAGAGTGCGCCCACTTCGGCCCCCCATTCCCCGTGCATCAAGTGCCTCCCCAGGGCCCATCTGCCTGTCAGCTGCCAGCCATGGCCTGGATGGCTGGGGTCTGGTCCCTCTGCCTGGGCTCGAGCCAACGCTCCCCCAGGCCTGAGGGCCCAGGGCTACAGGCAGATGGACAGGCGGGGAGAGATGCCCAGCCCCCCCCGCCCATCCCAACCAACACACACCTTCAGCTCACAGTCCTCATTCACTGCCAGATTGCCAGGCTTCAGGTCCTGGGGGCACAAGAAAGGTGGGCGAGCAGCCCCTCCCACCACACCAGGGCCAGAGCCTGGACACCTGAATGTGGGGCAGCCAGACTCGGCCATCCCCACCCGGATGCCCTTCCAGGAAGGACAGAGGTACCCAGGCCCCCACAGCTGTGCGTGAGCCTCGCACACACTCCCCACTGGCCCCATCTTGCCCCCTCACAGGCCAGCAGTGGAGGCTCCTGGCAGTCAGGCCCCTCCCACACCTACAGGCCACAGGAAGTTCCCACCCAGCACCAGGACTCACCCTGTGGATGATGCCAGCAGCATGGATGTACTATGGGGACAGACAGAGGGTCAGTGGCAGTCAGCTCTGGGACCTCAGAACCACGGACGAGCAATCCCACCCTGGCCCCGGCCTGGCCTGGGGGGCTCTGCCCCTCCTGCAGCACCCCTGTGCGCTCCCACCTTTAGCCCCTTCAGCATCTGGTAGACAAGGAACTGGATTCGGTCCTCGCTCAGCTTCTCGTGCTTCATGAGTTTGCCCAGGTCGGTGCCCATGAACGGCATCACCAGGTAACTGCAGGGACCGGGGTGGGTGCGGACAGTGGGCATCACACCCCCTGGGCCTAGGCTCAGACCCTGGAGACCCTGGGGATCGCCTGGCAGCAACTTCTACCTTCCACAGTGCAGCACCAGGCTCCACCCACCTTCCCAACGCACACCTGCCCCAGAATGTCAGGTGGGTCAGGACCGTGTTCTGGGGTTTCCTGCAGGGCCACATGGAGGCTAGGGTCTAGGGAGCACCAGGGATCACAGACAGAAGAGGGTGCAAGAGGAAGGAGGGAAGTGCCTGTGGGCAGGGGTGGGGACAGGAGGACACGTGGCTCAGAGGAGCAGGCTGGGCCTGTAGGTGGAGGGAGAGAGACACAGAGCAGGGACATTTAACACCTCGCCAGGACACTGAGGCCTATGTGTGTCCTCGACCTCTGCAAGGTCAGACGGCAAGGAGCCTGTCCTCAGCCCTTCCCAGGCTCAGCCCCCAGCCTTGGCCGACGACAGTATGAATCCAGGGATGGCAGCCACAGGCAGGCCCCCTGCCGCCCCTCCCCTGCCTGCCAGCAAAGGTCAGCAGCTCCAGTTACAAAGCCACATACTTGACGCCAGGGTCCCAGAGCACGGGGCCTGCTGGCTAACCGACGCAGGTCCAACGCTCACACCTCCAGCACTGGACAGCCCGTACCAAGCGTGGTCCAAGGAGGCCCGGGCTGCACCCAGCTGCGCCAGTGCCGTGGGTCCCAGGGGTGCGTGGCAGGGGGGGGACTGTGGTGTGGGGAAGGGGTGGGCAGTGTGCATCCCGACCCCGCTGGGCCGCAGGGACAGGCCCACGTGCCAACACAGAACCCGAGTCAGCACCCAAGAGCAACCCAACACCCCTCTGCCCTGCCCAGCCCTCCCAGGACGGCACTCACAAGTCTGCGAAATCATCCAGGGTTTCGTCAGGAGTGAACACGTCCAGCAGCCCGATGACCTGGGGAGGAGGCCAGAGTGACAGGTGGGATGGGGGCACAGTGGAGGGCATGGGGGTTCAGGCAAACCCCCGAGGCTGGCACTGTGCTCTGAGCAGGAAAGCCCCCTACAGATATCCCCGTCCCTTCCCACTGTCCACAGGGCCTGGCTCTGTCTGTTGGCCACGCAACCCAGCGCTGGCACCCATGCCCATAGACACAGGCTATTTTTGAGTGATGACCACAGGAATCCTCTGGGGGAGGGGCAGCCCCAAGTCTGGGTCAGCTCCCAGCCACCCAGGGAGCTCCAGCCCCTTGGCCCTTTGTCCCCCTCTTCCTGTCTCCATGGAAGACTCGAGACCAGGGTGGGACAGCCCTCCAGGGGAGTGCCAGCCCCCAGCAGGTCCACCAGGGAGCCTGGTTTCCGCTGGAGAGGCCCAGGCTGACAGCACCATGATCGGGCTGACAGCTAGACCCAGCCCCGCAGGTCCCTGGGCAGCGTGTACACCCTAGTGGCCAGAGGGGCAGCTGGATGTGCCAGGAGGGAGGACCCCTGGTATAGGCCGTGCAAATGGGGGCCGAGGTGGAAGGGAGAACACTCCAAGCGCTTGAGGAACACGGGGAGAGAGGCCAGGTGGCCGAGGCCCAGGCCAGGGAGCAGCCAAGGAGAGGCCCGAGGGAGCCCAAGTAGGCCCTTGCATGCCAGGTGAAGGTTTGGCTTCGACCCTAAGAGCTGCCGAGAAAGGGTTTAAATAGGTGTGACGCCGAGTGAGCCCCTCTGTGTGCTGTGTGGGCACAGACAGGAGTGAGGCAAGAGTGGACGCAAGGTGGAGGGACGGCTAGATGGCCTTCAGAGCCGCCAGCCAGAGCCATGGGGAGAGGGAAGGAGAGGACAGAGAGGGAGGTCCAGTGAGGGCCTGGAGGCAGGCAAGTACTAGGGAATGAGGACAGTGTCTTTGCAAGAAGAGGACAGAGGACAGGGTCCCCAAGTGTAAGGAGGGTCCATCAGGTTGATGGAGACTTCCGTACCGCTGCGGCGTGGATTCTGGCCTAAAGTGCAGGGAAGGAGAGGGAGAAGGCCCGAAGCGTGGGTGGAAGGGTGGGACCCGCCATGGCACCCAGCCCCTCATAGCCTCAGTGTTCTTCTCATGGGTTTACGATGGGCTGAGCCTCCTAGCTGCGTTCAGGCACCATGCAGGCAGTGGCAGCCGGCTGCTAGCGGGTTGGGAGCTCAGCTGGGAAGGCACAGAGGGGGGGATTGGGCCAGGGGGCCCAGCAACTGAAGGAAAGCCCTGAGACCTTGGGGAATGGGCAGGGCAGGCAGGAGAGGGGGGGCAGTTGGGGAGGAGTATGCAGCCTTGAGGAGATGGGTCTGCCTTCATGGGAACCAACCTGGGCATGACTGGGTGTAACCAGAAGGTAGGGAGGGCAGCGCTGGGCTGCTGTCCGTCCCAAATGGATTCTGCCCCCGTCCCCCCCCCCCCCCCCCCCCCCACCCCGGGAAGGGCCAAGGGCAGAGAGGGAAAGTCAGAGTGAATGAAGGACCCAGTGTCAAGGGGACAAGTTTCCTGGTGGACGTGGGACTCGTTTTCCCCGAAGGAGGCTGGTGGCTCTGATGACCCAGGAGGGGCCAGACCATCAGGAGCATGATTAGCCCAGGGTCTGAGTACTCACACCAGCAGTCCAAACTAGGGGTGAGGCAGGAATGGCTGGTGTGGGAGGGACAGAGTTCAGGGCCACAGGAAGAACATTGAGAAGCAACAGGGGCTCCCCTAGGAGAGAGAAGGGATCCAGACCTGCCCTCTCCCGGCACAGAAGGAGGCGTCTCTGCGCTGGCCACTGCCTAGTGCCCTCCACACGCCAGCTCTGTAAACCCCATCACCACCGGACACCCCAGGGCTCTGAGGTGACAATGCCGGCATGCCAACTCCTGCTCGGTGACTAGCTCTGCACCCCGAACCGAGGCTGGGGCGGTGGACTGGAGCAGACTGCGCAGGACAGGGACCCCACGGGTGCGGAAGGGGGCCTGGGGCGCAGCTATGGAGGACGCCTGGGGAGAGGGAAGAGGCTGGTGCCTCTAGGATGACTGTGTCCTCTCTCACCTCCAGGCTCCGGCTGGGGGCAGGGTTGGGGTGAGGCCTGGAGGATGCCCTTGGCCTGGGCAAGCCAC